AAGTGTGTCGGGCTCCACATTGCTACACCTACTAGTACAACGCTGCGCGTCAAACTCAGGTCACAGTGACGTTGCGTACATTCCGCTCTATGCCTACCCATAACTACATGGATAGGAATCCTGAGTGGGTGCACACGGCTTGAGATCAGCGCGTACCTAGCTGCATGATCTTGCATCCGAGCCGGCTACGGTATCCTTTGCGGTATCCTGAACACGCTTCGTCTCACAGCGGCGCTGTGTTCCCGCAAGTCAGTAGCTTACTGACCACTCAAACTTCCGCAGCCTCTTCAACTATCCTGCATGCCTTCCATTGACATCATTGGGCAAGGCGAGTTGAACCGAACATGGTGTTCGATGTCCCACCCCACTCCAATGCGGCAAGTGGAGCGCATACGTCGTCCGACAGCCCCATGTCAGATTGCCCTTCAATCTCCTTGCCTGTTTGCCGTTTGGCAGCTCTATCGTCATTCACCAAGTCTACATGAAACGCAGACGCCACCGCATGTACCAAGGTGGCCCTAAGACTGAGTACTTCTAGTTCCAGAATGTTCAACTTCATTCCACAGAGAAGCAATTCGAGTGTTTCGCATGCGCGCTGTAGCCGTGGCGCGCACGCCAATCTGCTCCGGCTCACAATGCTGCCTGGTGTCATGAACCAGACAATCTTTCCATCCTCAATTTGGAAGGTCTGAGCGATTCAACCCCAGGAGTACAAATATGACCACCAAATTACACAACACTTGGGTATGGAGCTTCTGTATGACGCCCCGCGGGCCCTAATGCACGGTCGCCGGTTGAACTCGCTTGCATGCAGGTCTCGGCGATACTCCGCCAGGCCAATCAGATGTCCTCATTCCCAAACCCCCTCCTCAAAGCGCTCGTTCCTTCTTGTCCGTATCCTACACGGTGCTGGGATTCTACTTGAGGTCAAGTTGACGCGGGTGCGCTCGATCTGCCGCATTAGCTTGTCATGTATACGGTGGGCTGGCGTGTAGCAAGCCTCTTCGAAACAACTGGCTGATAGCACATCGGAGAGAACTCTCTCGAGATCTTCGGTTCAAAATCAGAAAATGCGCAATAGATCCGTCTAGGCCCATCACACCCGCATTTCATACCGATACCAACATACGCTCTCCTGCGAGCGCCTGAACCGTCGTTCAAGCGCGGGTTCGCAACGTCGCGAGATATTCTCTGGCGTGGAGCTCGCGATCAATTTTATGTTAAGATCGGCAGCACAGCCCCAATTTCGGGGTTAAGCATGCTGCATCTCCATTTCATCAGCAGCTGCCTCTGGGCCTTCTAGGAATGCGTTCGCTTGCACGAGCGGTCTGCACTGCGCTGTGCGTTATGTGAGCAGTGGCTAGCTAAAGGCAGATGCGGTGAGGAGTATTCAACGTTGCACACCCACTTTATCTCGATCCATGTTTTGTGTGGCTCGGATTGCGGTATTCTTTAATAGACCATTTCAAACCGTTCCAAGGTTGTTTTCTGTCGCAATACTCTCGTCCCGCACATTGCCGCTGTCTGCAGTGCCATCCCTTCTGGCAGCAATGCAAGGGCACCATATGCAGGTGAGCAGACTGCTCCAGGCGTGCGGATAATTTGGGTAAATAGCGTCAGGCTTAAAAGGGTCCAGCGGAACATTGCTTCTTACCTCCTATGAGCAGCACCGCATACATAGGCGAGTGTAAACATCTGGGCCTTACAGCTCACTACACGCTACGACACCGCCCGTCCAAGCTACTAACCTCGCTTCCTACGAAGCCAATGACCATTGCGAATATTCTCAAAGCACAGCATAAGCAAGTAAGCAGCATCGTATGCACCTCGTATCGGGCCGCGCAGTAAGCTCGGATTCCGACGTCCGACGTAACAGCAACAACGTGGCGACAGTTTGCTCTCTGGCGTTCTACTCCTACGCCCGCAGGATAGGATGCAGGATGGAAAAGACGGCACGCATCTGGATTTCACAAGAAGCTGGGTAATGCCCGAACAGGGCTACACGAGGTGCAGCCACGTTTAGCGTTGGCCCATCATATCGAAGCGGAGGAAACTTACTGTGTAGGCACTGCTAGCATCGGCCGTCTTCCGTAGAGATCCAGTCGAACCACGGCTCTGTACGTTTGCGACTGCATTGAGTTTCCAGGAACATCCAATAGGCAGAAAACATCGGCCATTTCTCCGCTCATGGGAATGTAATCCAGCATGCGGCACAGCGATAAAGTTGCAGCAGCCTCGCGACAATAACTGCCACTCGGAGGTTACTCTTGCGCGACGAGTGGCGACGGAGTACGGATCCCCACGCGTCTTTGTCCAACGTAGCCAGCTAGCTGGATTATTCTCCCGTTTACAGCAAAATCATCTTCCAAAGAGCACTCGACCAAATGTCTTGATGCCCGGATGTGGATGGAAGGATGAAAACTAGGTTGATCGTAATGAAGCTTAGTCCATTTCATTCCGCAACAATCATGTCCCAGACGTTACAAGACAGTCAAGTTCGAGCGAACCTTGACTTCGCTACCACAGTTACAAACTCTCGCGCGCAAGGTAAGATCGGAAGAGTAGGAACTCGCGTTGGGCCTGCCATCTTTTTTATTCTTGACGCTTGCATTGCTTTCCAAAGTCGCAGCTTTTTTCCATTGTCGCCCATTTGGTCTTCCAATCATCATTTATTTCCTCTTTCCAATCACTCTGTGGTCAGAAAGTCACGTGCGTTACCTATGGCATCAGACAACATCGTAGGTGAAGGCATTCGATCATTGATCGAGTATCATACCCAAGCGCGGCGCACACCATCAGCAGCGTTCATGTCGCGTCGGAAGTCAGCAGTCAATGTGATATCCGGGGTCGCTGCCAATCCGCATCCAGACTGAAGTTTGGAAGTTGACGGGAAGGTACCTTCCAGATTCTCGAGTTCACATCCTCCAGCATGCAGATGATACATTAACTGATTGGATCGAAGTTTACGTCTGCAAACCTCTGCTCGTTCTCTGTTTCCTGTATGTCTCCCTTTAATACACCCTTTGAAGAGATATCGTTAGTACGTTACACCTAAGTATCGTTCTTGACCTCGCGCATACTTTCAATTCCCAATGTGCGCGAATAGTTCCTCCCTTGGCGACGCGAGCCACAACAAAAGTCGTCCGGGTTGCCAATCGCAACCTCTGCTGGGTCGTCGATGCCGTCCCAAAGGAGAAAGAGCAAACACACCCCATCCTGCAACCTCATTGTCGGCCACCTGCCTACGTCACCATCCTGTGCTTGTCTATAGTCACATTTCTAGCATCTTTCCGTCGTACATGATCAAAATCGCTGAGAAGGCTAGTCGCATCTGCGCCACGGCACCCATGGTCTGTATGGGCGAGGTGGTGCCACGAAGGTGCCTTCCTGGGCACGCGCAGAGCACAACAACGACGCACGCTCTCGCCCCACAATCGCGCCTTCACCTTCACTTTCGCTCCTGCCAATCCGTCCTCTGCTTGTCGCCTGCCGCCGGAGCTAATTTCCGCCGTGCCTGCAAACGCTGCTCGCACGTCATATAAACAACTTTTCTGTGTCCACCTCCGTGTCTTCTGCTTCTCTCACGACACTCACCCCAAAGCTTCATCATCTCTGCAGCTGCATCAATCCAACACGAACATACTTCAATTCATCCCCACCACCAATCAGATTACCGCTATCAACATGTTCGGCTACAAGATCTTCGCTGTTGTCGCTGCGCTTGCGCTGGCTGTCGTCGCCACTGACCGTGAGTACATGCTTCAGGCTTAGCTGCAAAGCTGCTTGGATACCTCTACATGGCATCGGGCACACGATCTAACAACTTGCAGCTGTCTGCGCTCCCGCTGCCACCGTGACTGTCACTGTCACCCAGTGCGTCCCCGAGCCCGGCAAGCCGTCGTCTGAGCCAGTCCCCCCTCTGTCAGATGTCTCCTCTACCCCCGCTATGTCGGCTGTCTCCTCGACTCCCGCTTTGTCGGCTGTATCCTCTACTCAGGACGGCGGAGCGCCTGTACCTACCACTACTAGCGTTATCCTGCCTCCCCCAGGACGACCAGTTCCCACCACCAATGTCCCCGATGACGAGCCTTCCAGTGCTACTACTACGCCTGTCGTGACTCCCTCATCCTCTGGTCGCCCTGGTGAGCCCACAACCACTGCCGTCGAAACCGCTGGCGCCGCTCTCGCAACGCCTGTCGTCGGTATGGGCTCGCTCGTCGCCATGGGTGCTGCAGCCCTGGCTATCATGGCCTAGGCCCGTTCACACAAGGTCAACGTGCTATATTGAGCAGGGGTGTCGCGCTACACGTCGCGTTCTCAGTCGAAGCCGTTAGTGCAAGGTCTGGTATCCATGGGGCTCTCTCTTATTGTCTTGATCATTCTCTCAAGACCCAGATACCCCCATTCATGATTTGGTATTAATGTATTGGCGGCTTATCATCGGCATGGGGTGTCATCCTTCGTCGAAAAGCTGCCCCATGGTATTGCATGTTCATAGCCTTCCACGAGTCTAATAAAAATACTGACATTGCCATTACTCTTGCTTCCGTACCCTGCTTGCTTTGATGACTATGCCTTGTGAAGTAGCTTTCACACTGCGCCTGGCTTCCACTCCTCGAGCTACCACGGATGACTGAGTTGGTACCTTGTTGCTCGAAAGTCAGTGACGCCCTGCTTGCCTATCAGAGTGCTCCTTGTGGTTGATTTCGGGCACAGGGAAGGGCAGTGATGAATATCCTATCGGAGACGAATAGTACGTTCATGTGGATCGTTAATACTGGCTAGAATGAAGGCATGATGAGACCAAGTACGGTTCTGATGGAGTGCACATGATTATCAGTGGAAAGACATATCAAGGGCGGGGAGAGCGAAAACAGTGAACAAGCATAAATATGGGCTGCGATATCTTCTAATGATAGTAAGAATCCCCCAATTAGAGAGTGCATCATGCTAATATATATCGCTCGTTCCTCCCACTGGATGACCACTCAAACGAAGTACTATCCCGTTTGTTTATACTTCGTCCTCAACTCGTCGATCTCGCGTTGGAACTTTTCCATATCGTCGAGGATGTTACTTGAGTCGCTCCTTCCCTCGCCCTCCTTCCCACCAGTCAGATTTTCATCGAGACCCAGCTTCTTCTCGCTCTCTTCCATTGGCGAGTATAAAGCATATTCGTTCCCACCTTTCTCGTCTGCAGGTGCGTATTCCCTTCTCAATGAGCTTTCGCTGGCTACGCTCGTCCGTCTGTGCTCTGTGCTTGTACGGCGATACTCCGTGCTCGTCCGTCGGCTTTCTGTGGGGGACGAAGAGGGTATCTGAGGTCTTTGCTGATCAAGGCTTGAGCGATTTGATCGGCGTCTTGGTGGAGGCGGAGGTGGCGGCATGTTGCTTCCAGTGCTTTCTCCAGATACATTTCGCTGGGTATTGCGATTGGAGGATATAGATGAGGCGCGGTGCACACTCGGCGCTGGCGACGAAGGTTGGGACTCTAGAGTGCTCCGGCGGGATGAAGGGGGTTCTGGAACGGATCTCGGCGTTCGACCCGAACTTGAACGCTGTGGCAGTTCGGTGCTGGAAGAGTTCGCGCTTGAGTTGCCTAGGGTCGCGAGTCGTGCGCCGTGTCGTGAAGGTGGAGGACGTGGTGGTGACTTTGCTCCAAACGGGTCGACGTTAGTTGGGACTGGGCTTTGTATGGGGTCAACCGAGTGCTGAGATGATATCGTAAGGTTTGAACTGCTCCGCGATCTATTGCCTGTTGTCGTCGTCGTCTTGAGCTGACTCTGCCTACGGGCCAATGGCACGGGCGGAGGTGCCTTCTTTTGTCTATTTGTGCCTTCCGAAGGCGGTGAAGGCAGGTCTTGTGCTGGTGGGGTTGGTTGGGATTGTAGCGGGGTGGTATCTTGCGTGCTGATATGGGATGACTGCGGCGCAGCAACGGGAGTTGGAGGGAGCGGTTTGTTTGTGTCCGAACTGTCGGTTCGTCTAATAGCCGGCGGTGGTGTTGGCTCTGTCGCTGCAAAGCTCTCGAAGGACACTGTCTGTGGCTGTCTCTGCGTAACGAGCTTTCCGTGTCGATGCTTGGGGGCAGGTGGGGGCTTCTTCTTGCCCTTCTTCACCTCGGAGACTAGCCCCATGCTCTCGTCCTCGTCCGAGTCGGCCATATCGACCGATGTACGTGGTGAATCAGCGTGGGATTCTTGTATGGGCTCGAATAGCGATTGCCGTGAGACTGAGGAGGTGTCGGTGCTACTACTGGTCTCAAACTGCGCGCCTGCGACGGGTTGTGATGCGCTCGTAGACTGCTGAGGCGGACCGGATGGTCGCGGAGTAGCTTTTCCGGTCAGGAGTAGATTCTTGAAGCTCTCTACATCCAAGGAAGCTCTGCTGTTGCCTAGCATCGGTCTTCCCGTGTTCGTCCGCTCCTCCTCGCTCTCCTTGTCTTGGGTTTCTAACGAGGCCAGTGTTCTCGAGAATGGATTCGCCGGTACGTGACCCAGCGATTGCGTCGCATGAGGCTCGCCGAAGGTTGGTCTCGGGCTTGGGGACGCGTCCGATATTGCCATGGCGTCTTTCCCGACAACTTGGGCATTGGCTTCACCCGCTGTGACAGAGTTGTTGACAAAGCCGGCGGGTGTTACGGGAGGCGGCGGGCTTGCAGGATGACCTTGGCTCGATCGCCGGGCCATGAGCTCGTTCAAGGTCGCATCTGAGTCGTCAAAGATGGGCGGTGGAATCGTAGTAGTGGGCGAGAGAATGCGGACAGACTTCTTGGTCTTGCCAGTCGAGGGCGGGGCGGCATCTTCGAGCACTGTAAGACAATTACTCCTTGAATGCCAGCAGACGCAGAAAGGCAAGGCGAGGGAATACCATGGTCGCTGTCCTCCCTGCGCGCTTCAAGCACACTGCTATCCGTGTTGATGAAGGAAGTCTGCGGGACGGGCGCGGGCTGACGGGGAGCTTGAGAAAGGCGGAAGGGGTTTCCGGACGACATGGTGGGTGCTAAAAACAATGCATTATTCTATGTACATGGAAGGGGCGCGAGAGAAGCGGTGAGATGGTGCCGCGCAAGAAATGCTGTTGCTGATAGTCGGCTCTGCGACGTGATCATCGCCGATATGCAGGTGCTGGCGATCCGGCGCGGGACAGCGAACAGCCCCCACCATCGTACCTCGTACACCATGACGGCCCAATGGATCTCTGCTATGCATCTGGCACAATTTCGCCAACGGATTCTGTGGCCCTGTGTGTTCTAGAGCTCCCGTTTCAATATTCGCTGCCTGCTACAGAATTTGAACACTTCCTTACACTGTTTAGTAAACGCGTGGGCATCTTGCAGCGGCCTACCGCGGCTATCTATGTAAGGGTCTATCTCCACGGTACGCTAATCGACATACACATGCCACCCTGCCTGGCAGTCAAACCACTTGCGCGCCAAGTTCCCTCCACTCTCTGTCGGTTGGCTGAAAGCAACTCGAGCTTTCTCAATGTGCAGCCCATAGATGAAGTCGGATCGTGCGATATCCAGCAGCCTAGTCGCGATGCCTTTCTTTCTCTGTTGATTCGACGTCCATATACGCGATATGCCCAAGGCCACCGGATCTGAATCGGTGCTGATAGAAATAGAAGAGCTATGGGGCGCGACAGCATCTCCTTGCTCCTGTTCGGGCGAACTGGTGGGGTCCAACACCTTATAGGCTTCCCATATTCGCTCTACCAAACATGCTCCTACACACTTATTCCCTCGAATGTATAAATATATCTTGAATCGATCGACGAGTGCCACGTTGGCTGGGTTCTTCGCCGAGGGCCGTGGTTTCGGTACAGGCGTAGTCCGTTCTGTTTCGTCTGCCTGGGCTGTCCGACTCGTCTGTCCCCAAAGCTCGTCGTCTGATATGGGAACAGCAGCAAGCTCTGTGTTCACAACCTTCAAAACATCACTCGCCCGGTTGCGCATCGCCAATGTATCCTTGCGTCCAACTACAGCGATGAAGCTCCCATCACCACTCCATATCTGGTTCTTCCTAAAGCGCTCCACGACTGGCTTGGTGAAGTCGACACCCCCAAGGTTCATCGCATGAAACTTCTTGTGTAGCGCCGCGTCTTCGGCATTCGACGGTATGTACTGCATTCCACATGTCTTGCATGTTTTACGCGTCTCTGAAGCCAGGTCTAACTGCATCTGTACCATCTGCTTCTTTTTCGGTGCTGGCTTCGGTGGGCTTTGCGCATTGTGACTCCGTTCCGTAAGGGGTTCTTTGGCGGGCGTGCTCGGCTTGAGTTGCTTTTTGAATATGGAGAAGACTGGTCGCCGTTTTTGAACGGGTGGAGGGGAGCTGCGCGGTGCTGGCGACGATGGTGGACTAGACCGAGGCGGTTCGTCTGAGAAGACTGCGGGCGAGTCTTTGGGGCTGGACGGAGGAGCGGTGGAGCTTTCACGCTCGCATTCGAGAGATGAAATGACAATCGTGAGAGCAGTATCCAAAGAGGTCAAGGTCGTCGTTTCGGTACTTTCGATTGTGGTCTCGACGCGTCTTCGTTTGGTAGGCGGTTCTTCATCGTAGAGTTGACGCTTCGTGTGTCGCGAATAGGTTCTGACAACCTTTCTGCAATTACGTTAGACATGCGACATATCTTCAATTGGATCGGCTTACTTTGCTCCGAAGGACGACATTACGGCGCTGTTGGCAAGCGTCGTAGGAACTGCGAGTGCTGGACCGCCCACGCGACAGACGCGTTTTAGCGCGCTGCGCTAGTGCCCGCCCACATGCACGACGTCACGCCTCGTCCTCTCACATGTCACCTGGTCAGTCCCAAACATCGTGTTCAAGGATATACTTCACAGTCATCAAGTCTTTGCGCGTCCTTTGAATACGGCGATACGCTTGCATCGTTCTGGACTCATCAAATGGGCGAGTGTCGCTAGATCAGGCCACCGGTCGATATCCCAGCAGGGAAGGTGCGTTTGCTTCGTGCTGACTGGCCTTATCATGGTCACTAAAAAGGCATCTATGAGTCAACGGCCGTGAAGCAATCAGGCACTAAAAGTACACAAACATCGGACTCTCTCTACTGACCCATCTCTGTTCTTTTCTTCCGTATTCGCACATCTCGTCGGTGTATCCATCTCCAAAATGGCGGAACAAACAACACCAGCACAGACGGGCACATCAGTTCCATCATCCATAGTGACTACCAAGCGTCTAATGATCCGTCCGATGTGTCTCGAAGATGCCCCTTCGACTTCCCTGCACGCCAACGACCCTCTCATCGCCAAGTATATGCGAGGAACTTTCCCAAGTCCATATACACAGTCTAGTGCCGAGACATGGATCAACACGAATCTTGCACTCCCATATCAACACCATTTCGTCATCTGTGAGAGATCAGCGCCAGAACTCGCAATAGGAGGCATCGGTTTGAAACTAGGCTCGGATGTGTATGCACATGCAGCAGAAGTTGGTTTCTGGGTTGGAAAGACGTATTGGGGGAAGGGTTATATCACGGAGGCACTGGAAGCCTTCACAACATGGAGTTTTGAGAGTTACGAGAACAATGGTCAACGATTGTCCAAACTCTACGCTGGGGTATTCTCTGGCAACGGGGCGAGTATGCGGTGCTTTGAAAAGAATGGGTACGTACTCGAAGGTGTACTAAGGGACAATGTTTACAAGAATGGCGAGATGAAGGATGAGCACATGTTCGGTATGAGAAAAGCAGACTGGGAGAGGAGATTGCGTGAGGGTGTCAGCAAGTAGTGAAGTGCGGCTGATAGTACATGAGCTGGATCAGAGTTTGGTAGTCTTTGGAAGGGATCACAGTAGTGGCTAAGACAGGTTGAGAAGGCTCAAGGAGGAAGTCTAGTTTTTGATTCAAAAGCTAAGTGCGCTTGAGGTAACTCAAGGACCTGGTTGGGCTATGTACGCTTGGAGTTGCATGAGCAGCATCTCAACCGGCACATTGTGTCTTGCTCTCTTTATCACGACACATTTCTCACCAGCGTACTTGCTGCCTTTTATCAGTTCTTGCGCCTTGTCCTCTCCAAGCAGATCCACCAAACTGTAGACCGCAACCTTTCTGCCTCGCCAAGTGGTGGTATGAAACTCGAGCTCCGGAAACATCAGGCGAGGTTGCAGACATGCGATGACAGGACCAGTATACCAGTGTGGTGAAGAGTGAGTGACTTCTGTGGTAGCATGTGGATCCAGCTTCGCCTCAAAGCTCTTGGTAAAGTAGGCTGACCACTTTTCCAGCTCAGCCATGTTCAGATCTGCCAGCTTTTGCATATCATCCCCACGGTTATGAAGCGATCGGAATATGAGGACAGAAGAAACGTCTTCGACGCTCTCGATGTCTTCAGTCCGGGGACTCGCGACTGGAATCAATCGACCTCTGAAACCAAAGTTCCAGCTGAGCTTACTTGCTACTGTCTTGCGCATTATGTCCAGTATGAAGTCTGGCATGTCCTCCCTCCAAACCATCTTCTTCAAGCCCAGCCCGCCAAACTTTTCGGCCATGCGTGAGTTTAGAGCTTTCTCCCAGGCTTTCTTCTTGCCCAGTTGTACAGTAACCCGACGAGTCCCAAGGAAACGGTGTGGGGGTCCGAGGTGCTTCTTGTCCGTCGTGAGAGAGACAGGCAGGAGCCACGGGTCTTTGGTCGTTGGGTGCGGGCGTGCGTGGAGAGAGGTCAGGAAGGCGCTAGGAAGGGAGATCATTGTTGCGCGGCATTGACGGACTGGCGATGCCAACGCATGGGCTGAGAAATTAGTCTTGCATTGCCATCAAGGGACAGCATTATGCATACCGAAAGGATTCTCCCATAGTTTCTTCTGGAAAGGCGTGAATTCAGCAAAATTCGGTCGCTCTTTCGTCTGTTCATAGCGAGACCTTTCTTCTAAGGCTACCGGGTCGAGTAATGGCGAAAGTGGAAGTTCTTTGGCTGTCTCGTCTTTGCGGAGGCGGAACGTTTGGTGGGCATCTTCGCGCGTAGGACCAAGGTCACTGCCTTTCAAGAGACGACCGGGAATATGGGCGGAGGATTGGCGGCATTGAGCCCGCGCCGGGAGTCTAGTGGGGCTCAAGCATGACGTCGGGCGACAGATCCATCTGCCTGGCATCAGGCGGGACAGTGAGCGACTGCGTGGTTCGTGCGGGTTGGAAGTGTTGCGCAGGAAGAGCCACACGATCGCATCGGACCCCCGGCTTGGCGCGCCGGAGCTGCGTTCACGCGGGGAGGCAGGAGCTACCCCGACATCACCATCATGGCTTCTCTATTACGGCGGGCTACAAGGCCATCAACACTACAAAGCTTCGCCAGATATGGCACGCGGTCGATGTCAAGCCAATTCGGCTTCCAGCCGCAATGGAGTCCACAGCAGCAGGACCAACAGACACCGCGCGCCATCTCACTGCCGATACCCTACGTGACGGAGACTACTGTGAGCTCAGCAGCGTTACTATTCAAGAACTAGCTGACTTTATAGGGTGGAGGCTGGAAAACTTCCGACATCTTCTCGCGTCTCCTGCAAGAGCGCATCATCTGCCTGAATGGCGAGGTTGACGACTACATGTCCGCCAACGCTGTCGCCCAGCTCCTCTTCCTCGAAGCCGACAACCCCGAGAAACCCATATCCATGTACATCAACTCGCCCGGCGGCAGCGTGAGCGCCGGTCTTGCGATTTACGATACCATGAACTACATCCGCTGCCCGGTCAGCACAATATGCATGGGCATCGCAGCCTCCATGGGATCGTTGCTGCTTGCAGGTGGCGCCGAGGGGCAGCGATACATATTACCACATGCGCGAGTCATGATACATCAGCCGAGTGGCGGATACCGTGGCAAGGCAAGCGATATTGCGGACCATGCCAAAGAGATCCTCAGGATACGGGACAAGCTGAACAAGATATACCAGTCGCACGTTACGAAGAAGAGGACATTGGAGGAGATTGAGAAGTACATGGAGCGCGACTACTTCATGGACGCGCAAGAGG